TTCTACAAGAGATTCTCATGCCTAATAAACCTTTTAAGCTCTATGTCGACGAAGTCAAACATATCCCTAGCAACTTTCTCAACAAGGTGATTTCCTTCTGGTTTGGCCCCACCCAGCCTTGTGATTATAGAACACCCTGACAGAAATAATGAAATCCTCGCCCCTTAAAGGGAGTCTCCAGACGCTGCCCCTCCAGGGAACTGAAAGGAACCATGATCTTACCTAACCTATACCTTAAATAGTTATTTTCATTATTATTTTTTAAACCAGTCACTCCATTCTTTCAGTGGTTTTTCTTTTAATGGCAACTGAATATTTACATTGCTTTGCCTGGAAGGCATGTAGGACTTTTCCTGGTGCTTGCTTAGCTGATTAGCATGACACGCTTGGCTGAATAGTTCTGGGAGACAGAGTTTGGTATGGGAGATGCAGTGGCTGACAGGAAAGATTAGGAACAAAGTCTCCCATGGCAGTTTCCTCTCTCCACCCAAGTCTAAACTTAGAATAGTCTTTCTCTTCCAAGCTAAAGGAAAAGTAATGGCAAACCTATCAATGGCTTGACGAGATAAAGAAAATAAAATGAAATTTTAAAATAGCCTTTTTATTTCTAAATCAAATTCTTTTTTATTCTGTTAGATGGCACTTAACCATATTGCTTTAATTTCTTCTTCTTTTACTTACAGCATTATAATCAGTATTTTCAGATATGTATTTATAGGAAATATACAGTGTAATTTTAATGATGCTTAGTCTTTTCAAAGTAAAAATCTTTGTTGTCCACCAGCAAAAATATAAACACTGTTCTATGTATTTCTTTCAATGTTTTTCATTATTCCAATTAGAATATACCTACGTTTAAACCAAATTCTTAGTTGTACTGAACAGGAGTAGATGGGAAATGACCTGTGCAGGAGAAAGAGCCCTGACCAAAACTTTGCTTGGGCTAAAGGAAAAAGGTCATGGCCAAGCTTTGTTATGCCTGATGTACGAATCCCCGAGCGGGAAGAGAGAAGGCTTCCAAGACAATGCAACTCGCAAAAAAGAGAAGTTTATTACTGACTCGAATCAGGGCTCCTGCCGCGCGTCCAACACAGTGGTACGGGGTCAGAGAGCCCTGAGCAGAGGCGGTTACCCAAATTTATAAGGCATGCATAAGCAGTTAGTAGCTGGCTTAAGCGGACTGGTTACATGTTTGCAAAGCAATTTTATTGGTACAAACTTTCGCGGGCTTTTGTTCAAACTTAGGTGTCCGTGGGCTTTTTAGCTCTCCCTTTGTTTCTTACTGGGCGCATATTGATTGACTGGCTCCAGGTTACCTGATGGGGGCGGGGAATCCCACCGTTTCACGGGAAACTGAAACCCAGGTCCGGGCTGCCTGCCAGCCCCGGCAGCCCCACAGCTTCTGCTCTTGGGTTCATAGAACTTTATTTAACAGAGTTCTTTAGTGAGTGTGGAGTTGGTGATGGAGGCAAAACTGCTTGATGTGAGACAGTAACAAAAATTTAGAGACTGAGAGGCCAACATGTGGGGTGATGGGTGGCCAAAAAGGTGGTAACAAGCCAGGGCTTGGAAAATAGTGCTACTATCTTGACATTACTTCTGGTGGGGGGAATAGCTGGCAAATTGTTATGACAGCATTGCTTAGATTTCAGATTTTTTAAAAGGGTATATTTAAAAATTTTTAAAATTTATTTATTTAATTTTGGCTGCACCAGGTCTTTGTTGCTGTGCACAGGCTTTCTCTAGTTGAGGTGAGCTTCTTACTGTGGTAAGAAGTGGGATTCTTACTTCTTACTGTGGTAGTTTCTCTTGTTTCAAAGAATGGGCTCCAGAGCTTGGTGTAGTAGTTATGGCATATGGGCTTCAATGCTCCTTGGCATGTGGAATCTGCCCAGAACAGGGATCAAACCCATGTCCCCTGCACTGGCAGTAGAATTCTTAACCACTGGACCACCAGGGAAGTCCTAGATTTCATCTATTACGTATTAATTCAGTCTATCCCCTCAGTTCAGTTCAGTTGCTCAATTGTGTCTGACTCTTTCTGACCCCATGGACTGCAGCATACCAGGCCTCCCTGTCCATCACCAACTCCCAGAGTTTACTCAAACTCATATCCATTGAGTCGGTGATGCCATCCAACCATCTCTGTCATCCCCTTCTTCTCCCACCTTCAATCTTTCCCAGCATCAGGCTCTTTTCCAATGAGTCAGTTCACATCAGGTGGCCAAAGTATTGGAGTTTCTGTTTCAGCATCAGTCCTTCCAATGAATATTCAGGACTGATTTCCTTTAGGATGGACTGGTTGGATCTCCTTGAAGTCCAAGGGACTCTCAAGAGTCTTCTCCAACACCACAGTTCAAAAGCATCAATTCTTTGGTGTTCAGCTTTCTTTATAGTCCAACTCTCACATCCATACATAACTACTGGAAAAACCACAGCCTTGACTAGATGGACTTTTGTTGGCAAAGTAATGTCTCTGCTTTTTAATATGCTGTCTAGGTTGGTTGTAACTTTTCTTCCAAGGGCAAGCGTCTTTTAATTTCATGACTGCAGTCACCATCTGCAGTGATTTTGGAGCCCAAAAAATAAAGTCTGTCACCTACTTTCTGATTTAATCTATCAGCTACTCAGCTATTCAGTTCCCTCATGCTATTCCAAACCTTCAGTAAAATTCTGCTATATCCAATTGGATTCTATTCATGGTATTATAAGAAGGGGGTGCTGGTTTCCAAAGGGACCAAAGAAGAGAGGAAGCCACCCAGAGAAACAGAATAATGGTTTGGATGGCTAGGTCAGAAAAATGACATCTCTGGAGAAAGCATTTGGAATAGTGGACTGGAGAGAGAGAAGGGCAATTTTCCGAAGTAAGTGGATTGAGGGTTCCACTGTCTTATTTGCACATTAAAGAGAAGTTTCAGAAGGCTGTACGATTTGAGGACATCTGGTTCATATTATTCCATATTGGCATTAAAATAATTAAAATACTTGAGTCCCATGGTCCCCCACTGTATTTCCCAGACTAGTAAAATTTAGGGACTGTCAGCTTTTTATTGCATCATGCAAAGATATTTTAAAAACTAATTATCACCAATGTTTCACAAAATAAAGGGCATTTTAGTATACATAAACGCAAAATAGGAAGAGCATAACCTCAGAACAATTTTTAAAAATTTCATTTTTATCTGAAATGATCTCACAGTCAACCTACTAAAAAGCACATATTTAGTTGTAGCTTAAATATTCCTTAAGGTTTTTTTCTACCTGTTTATTAATTTTTTAAAAAACATTAGTAAACTGTTATGTGCCAAGCACTGTGCTAGGTACTAGGGTGGAGAGAATGTAGCAATACAGATACAGAAAAGTATCAATATCTCATGGTTTTCTGGGACAGTCAAGTAGGTGACCCTAACTGCAAACAGTGTGACTTGTGCTGTGGTAGACAAACTCACTGAATACTATGGGTAAAAAGGTCCAAACAACAGTTAAAAAAAAGTCACTCTATCTCTAAGCAGAAGTGTAAGAACTATTAAAGCCTGATGCTAGATCTTACTCTGCATCTGTCATTTGAGTTTCCTTACCAATGATTTAGAGGGAAACTGACAGTACACCCCAGAGATCATGGGATTTTTCAGACTTTTATTTTTTCTGAGCCAGTAACAGGGCTGGGAACATACTTCAATGCAATGTCAGCTGACCCATACAGCACACCCAACCAGAAGAACTGGGTTAGGAGGAATGTAAGGAGTAAAAACTGACACTCTCCCCCTCTTGTCTACAGTGGAATGGCTGTGCACATAACCACTCTGCTCACTTTAGGATGTACAAGCTGAAGGTCCGTGGGGGACAGGACAGGGTAAGAATATGGTGACATGGTCCATGGTGAAGACCAAGCTTAGGATCTGGTGCCAGACGAGGTGGAGCACTTGCTCAGTACACACACTGGGGAAATGTCTGGGAGTGGTGATGGACACAGTGGTCCCTCTGGCTCAATACTACTCCAAGCTACTAGGTTTCTGAGTTTCTATCCTAAGTGAGAGTTAGGAAGGCACATCTTGGTATCTTAGTCTGGTTCTGAATTTCCAGAGGGAGTCGGGAATGCTGGCACAGCAAGGGATACATATACATTTATACAAATGTATACATTCATACACACATTCATCCACAGACGTTTATGTGAAGAAGGATGGGAGGCAGGTAGACTGGGGAGTTTTTCCGCTGTGCCTCAAAGGGCACTGTGTTAGAGGGGGTAAGCTAACTATGCATTTTTCTCACATGGTACAACCAGAGTATACGTGTCAAAGGGATAGATGCTGGAACAGTCTTTTCCTTCCCTTGTCTCACCTCAACTTTGGTCAGAAATAGGTCTAGAACTTGCACTCAATTATCCATCCTTAAATAAACTCAAAACCTCCATAGATCGGCTGAGGGCTTCAGCTCTGGTATCTCTGACCAGGTCATCTGGCTTCTCTGAAGCACATGCGTGTGACGACGACACAGAAACGCAAGCAGTGGCTCTTGCACACACACAGAGGTTCTGCAGCTCTCGTCCATTCTCACACATTCCCATTTTAGATTCTGAGCAGCTCTCACTCCCCAGGCGCTATGGAATACAAGGGTCTGACAGAATCAACCAAAAGAGATGAGGTTCCTTCCTCACGGGGGCTTGGGAACAGAGGTGTGGTCATTTTCCTTCACAGCTTTAAAAACTGTGACCTCCCTAGACAAGAGCCGGTCAGGGGACCGAGACCCGCAGACGGTGCGGGGAACCGGCGCCCCTGCAAAGCCCAGTAACGCCCAAGACCAGGCCCGGGCGGCGCGAGGGGAGGCGAAGTTGTCCCCGAGGCCGGTGGCAGAGGATGCGGCAGCTCGGGCAATGACAGCTTTGAAGGAGAAAGGGAACGATGGTTCCGTGGTCCCTGAGGTCTCCCGAGGTCGACTCCCCGGAGACCCAGAGCAGTGGCCGGGCAAGTTCCTGGCAGCGCGGAGAGCGAGTGTCTTACCTGGCCGGGCTGGCTGGTGTAGTTGAAGGAGTAGATGTTCTCGGTGGGGAGGCTCACCACCCCGCTGTAGATGTGATCGAACTCTGCGCCCCTGGCGGGGTTGCGGGGGTCGCGGCGCAGCGCTGCGGGTGGTGCCGGGCGCCCGGGTGCCACCGCCGGCAGAAGCCAGGGCAGCGCGCAGAGCAGCGCCAGCCGCGTGCAACCGTGCATGGTGGGCGCCGCGGCCCGGCGGCCGCCAAGCCCAGAAGCCCGGGGGGAGGGGGCGAGCGCAGAGCTGGTCCTCCCAAAGCCCCCGGCGGCCACGGCGCTGTGTTCAGCGCCGCGCTGGCGATGCCTGGCAAGTCCCGCCGAAGGGTGCCGGCAACGCGCAGGCGAAAGGCTGATCAAATATTGATACAGCCTCCTGGGGTCTCCACGGAAGGTCACCAGGTGGAGGTAGTGGGTGCACAGCAAAGGGGGGAGACCGGGGGCTCCTGCCGCCTTCTAAGTCCGTTTCCTCCCCCTTTTCTCATTTCTGAGAATCTCTCACTTAGCCAACCAGAATTTCAACCGATCTCTTCCCCCTCAACCTCAAAAAGAAAAAAACAGAATTGGAAACATTAAAAGGAAATACCCACTAGTCTTGAGGAATCAAGATCAGCCATTGAGCAGGAAATTCAGTCCGTTTTAAATAAATATGCACCTTCCTGCAAGCGAAGGAACAGAAAGCAACAGAGCCTGTCCAAGAGGGGGCACGAGTCCGCATTTCCAGTCTGCTACCTGCAGAGAACTCCTGCTCTTCTGAGAGATGGTTATTAACTCTCAAGTCTCCCTTCTCTAACAGAATTCCCAGTTCTCCCTTCCCAGTCACCTGCTTTATTTCCTTATCACCTCCTAATCTCAAGGAGCCTCACGTCATCACTTTTTCTCTCCCTCGCCATACGGAACATATGTAAATATGTACAGTCATAAAAAATAAATATAGTAAAGAAAACAGTCTTAACATTGACGTAAGTCGAGTCCCGGAAGTTGTCAAGAAGACCAGAGCAACTGGATTTGTGCAGAGGACACACATTCTGCTCTAATTTCGGGTCTACTTTGTCTCTGCAGTGACTCTCAGATTGGCAGAATCCCAAGGATTCTGTATTGTTTTTCAAGAGAGAAACCACAACCCCAAAACAAAAGGAAATACCCTTCAGGCAAAAATTAGGAGATTCAATTTAAACAATGAAGAGGCAGGTCAAGAGTGTGTTGAAACCACCACGATATTGTAAAGTAATTATCCTTGAATTGAAAATAAAGTAAAAAAAAAAAAAAAAAAGACTGGAGTGAGGAGAGGATCTCCAGCAAGTCCTTTTAGAGCACCAGATAATCCCAGTTCAGGAGGACTCTGTTGCATTTCAGCTTCAAGTTATTTGTAAACTGTAAGAGAATATAATTGAAATCAACCTGAGGGAACATTAAAAAAAGAAGCCACAAAGAAGAAAAAAGATCATGTTCCAAGAGTTAAGATTGCAGATTAAAATCCCAGCATTTATCATTCAATGGAAAGGGTTTCTCTCTCTTTTTTTTAAACCTCATTGAATTCCTACAATTTATTAAAACATCAAAAAATGAGTGTGATACATTTGATATACAGTTGTAACTGTGTGATCAGAAAACAATGCAGATTGATTTAGATGACTTCCTATTAGGACTTTAAAAACATTTTTTACTTTAAAAATGTTTTTGAAAATATATGGGCACGAGGACAAAAGTGCTCATTCAAAGAAGAGTCTGGGGGGTAAAGTTTAAAATAGAACTGACGTTCTTTTTTTTTTGAGAGACATAATTTCAAGCAGAATTTGAGTGATGTTAAACTGCTGTATTTAAAATGTCTATGTCTCTTTTTATAACTTAAAAAAGTTTCATAAACTTGGTGTTTGTAATTTCCTTTGAGTTCAACTGGCCTGGCCAGTTCAAGCACTTGCTAGAGGTGTAGGATCATGGATATTTCACCCTGCTTATTTAACATATATGCAGAGTACATCATGAGAAACGCTGGGCTGGGTGAGGCACAGGTTAGAATCAAGATTGCCAGGAGAAATATCAATAACCTCAGATATGCAGATGACACCACCTTATGGCTGAAAGCGAAGAAGTACTAAAGAGCCTCTTGATGAAAGTGAAAGAGGAAAGTGAAAAAGTTGGCTTCAAACTCAATATTCAGAAAACAAAGATCATGGCATCTGGTCCCATCATTTCATGGCAAATAGATGGGGAAACAGTGATGGATGGCATCACCGACTCAATGGACATGAATTTGAGTAAACTCTGGGAGTTGGTGATGGACAGGGAGGCCTGGCGTGCTACAGTCCATGGGATCGCAAAGAGTGGGACACGACTGAGCGACTGAACTGAATTGAACTAAGGATCATGGAGTCTTACTCAAACACTAAGAATGATGAGGAATTGGCCCGTTACAAGGTGGTCCCTTCTTTAAAGAGCTGTGAGCTGTGCTTAGTTGCTTAGTCGTGTCCAACTCTTTGTGACCCCGTGGAATGTAACCTGCCAGGCTCCACTGTCCAGGGAATTCTCCAGGCAAAAATATTGGAGTGGTTTGCCATTTCTTTCTCCAGGGGATCTTCCCAGCCCAGGGATCAAACTCAGGTCTCCTGCATTGCAGGAGGATTCTTTACTGTCTGAGCCACCAGGGAAGCCCTCTTTAGAAGGCAAGTCTCATTACTAGAAAGATATTTCACATTTTAAATTGAAATATGCTTCTCTTCACTGGTGTGAGGTCTGCTGTCTGGAGCCACAGGAATAAACCTAATCCTTCTTCCACATGACAGCCTTGTAGGTATTTGAAGGGAGCTATGACTCTTCAAGGCTTTATCTTAATTTTAAGTAATGAATTTAGAAGCAATTTGAACAGACCCTTTATCATACAGAGCCCAAAAAATCTATTTTAAAGCCTTTATGGATGATATCTATACCAGACAACTTGAGTGTTATATTGTAAATCAGCCTATGCTATGACTGACTCCTAATTCAAGCCCCAATCCAATGATTGACTTTAGGTAATTAACCTCCCCAGGATCACAAGATTGCTATAAGGATAAAAGGGAGGAAGAATATGATTGAAATTATATTCAAAAATATAAAAATAAAAATATAAAAAATAAAATAAAAAAATACAACCAAATATTAAGATATGACAGTTAAAATTCAAGCTAAAAAATGAAACATGGTCAATCAGGCAGGTTTTAAAAATATCTACAATGCTGAGGTTTCACTGTGAGAGACTGAACATACAGACAATGGCCAGACCATATAGGACAAGAGACCACTGACCCACAGCCAGTCCAGGAAACCAAACCACAAACTACCAAATGGCCCCAAACAGTCAGGACTTGGTCAATGACTGCCAACTTCTCCAAATTTAGCTCTGCTTCCAACTTAGAATCAATCAGAGGAAGCCAAATATGTTCCACAAACTGTAAAATACACCCGACCCTAGCTTCTCCATGCCATCAAGATCTAATCAGAGTGCTGCTGAAAATGTCCTTTTTTCTGTATAAAGCTTTCCCACTTTCCTGTCTGCCTTTGAATATCCGCCAAACACAGGTGGTGGTTCACTATAGCAAACTCTGAATAAATAACCTCTGTTTGTTTTCTTCGGGTGGTCTTTATTTTCTTTATTTCTTTATTTTCATAGTTTTCCTGAAAGTTCCATGGGGATGTCTGCACTGCCTGTCACTGCCAACTCCAGCCTTCATGGAATGCTGCCCCTTGGGGCCAGTTATATGTGTTGACCTGGTGATTCAGCACTGGGTCTGAACTCTGCTCTTTGCTTTGAGTTCTTTGGCTATTGACTCTCAGTTTGATACTCCCGTTTTGTTATTGGTTTCCATTCGTTTGACATCTTTGGTGGATTCAGGCCATTCTTTTATTTTTTAATCCTGTTTTTGCTCTCTTTTCTACTTCTGTTTTGTGTTGTGATAGCTAGAAATGCTGTTTGTTATAGAAGAAAATACAGGCATAGCCCTTTTAAGACTTGTTTAAGCTAGTCTCACAGACCAGTGTGGTTCTCCCTGGACAGGCATTGGATTGACATTCTTTTGGACTAAAGTTACTTAGACTAAACAAGACTATCCTTGTAGGGTTTTTATTGTTGTTTTCTTTTTTTAATTCTGAGAGTTTGACTTTGATCCATAGAGAGCTTTCTTTCTGGCTCTGCACTTGGCTCGAGGTGTAGGTTGTTGGGTCTACATTTGGAAGCAGTTACCACCACACTGCGGCTTCCCAGGTGTCATTAGTGGTAAAGAACCTGCCTGCCAATGCAGGTAGACATAAGACACACGTGTTCAAGCCGTGGGTTGGGAAGATCCCCTGGAGGAGGGAAAGGCAACCCACTCTACTATTCTTGTCTGGAGAGTCCCGTGGACACAGGAGTCTGACAGTCCATGGGGTCTCAAAGAGTCAGACATGACTAAGCGACTGAACACACACATGCACACCATCACACTGGGGACTCAAAGTGCACCAGCATCACTTTCAATTGACTGTTGCTAGGTCTTATGGGGTCAGCTAAGTCTAATTCCTCTCTTTCTCCTAAAAGACTCCTACTTTTTGTATGTCATATGTCTGCTCATTATAGTTCTAATTCTTTTTAAAAAAATTACTCAATTAATTAAAAAATTTTCTGGACGTGTGGCATGTGAGATCTTAGTTCCCCCACCAGGTTTAGAATCTGTGCCCTGTGCAGTGGAAGCATAGAGTCTTACTTCCTGGACTTCCACAGAAGTCCCTACAGTTCTAATTCTTGCACCTGTGTTTCAAATGGCATAACTGCACCAAGGATGACCTGGGCCTTCAACTCCAACTGTGTGGAACACTGGATTTAAACAAAATCTTTCATTTGAGAGGCACCTTAAAAAAGAAAATAAACTTCTCAGACTTAATGGAAAGCATTTTTTTTTAAACTGGTTTGCAGAATACTTGAAATAAAACTGTTACAAATTGCTTTACTAAAAGACTGTTTGGACAAAGCTAATTAACAAATTTGACAAACTTAAACAATATAGACTCATTTCCATAGCAAGTCCTCCCCTTCCTTGTCTTCCAGTTGCCTTCCTACAGCCAGTTCCCCCATCTCCTCTTATCTTTATACTTACTCTCTTCTCTTCTGCACACGTGGCATGTGAGATCTTAGCTCCCCGTCTTATCCAGACTTCTTACCTTTTCTCAACAACTCTTCCAAAAT